ATTTTAAACAATGCTTTATAATAAATCTTGAATCCTACCTGAAAATATTTGATTGTTTTCTATTCACATCAAAATGAATTCCTCTAATTCTACAAAACCATAAAGAATGTAAACATTGTAAAATAACTGAAAAATAGCATATGTTACATGTTTCATATCTAATAAGAGATTTCATTAGAAGTTTTGCTAACACTACAAACAAACACAGAAATGAGCAATAACAATATTTTTTTCATCCATGCAGGTCCATTTTATTAAAACCACACCAGTTTTCAATAAAGGTTATCTCATGTTAAAATAGAGTTTAATTAATTAGACTTAGTTTAGTTAATGGCCTCTGGGTTTGTTGTTTACTGTGTGTTTTAGCGCATGCTGCTACAGGACCTACATGACAGCCATGTGTGCAACAAACTGCTGGTGGCTGAGAGTGAGGAAGACATCTGGAAGAATGAGTCTCTGTATCGACAGAGGCTCAACACGTCTGATGGTAAAATAACACCTCACACTCTGAAACAACTTCATTTAACAATTTAATTTATTGTTTTAAACAATAACTGGTCTTTGTGAACCCATCTCCATATGTGACATCTGTATTTATGAAAGGCACTCCAAACAATAGCTGCACTCTGCTTCAAATAGGATCGGCCACTTTATTAGATTGCACCATGTCTGCCTTCAGAGCGCCCTAATACTTTGTGGCATAGATCCAACAGTTATTGGAAATGTTCCTTAGAGATCTGGATCCATGTTAGCGTCACACGTTTGCTCCGGATTTATCAGCAGCATGTTCATCGTGTGGATCTCCCTTTCCAGCACATCCCAAAAGTGACTGATTGGATTGAAATCCAGTGTTGGAGTCCAGTGAATCCAGACCTCAGACCAGAAAGTGTTTGCCCAGTCTCAGTGTTGGACATGTTTGTTAAAAGATGTATTCTGCAGATCTTGGTTGGGTCAAATGCTTTATTGAGCTACTGTTGACTTTCTGTCATCTCTAAACAGTCTGACCTTCTCTGCTTTGGACAGTTTTCTGTAACCCCTATGGCAGGGCTATTCAACTAAATTGCTCCGGGGGCCACAGTTACTGCAGGCCAACAGCTGAGGGGCTGAACATCCAGCAATTATTTACTGTTATTTAACCAGGCAAGTCCTGTTGAGATGTCAGATCTCTTTTTAAAGGGAGGCCTGGGCCTGAAGGCAGCCTATTGTACAGGTTTTTGTCATTATTAAAGGGATCCCTGATTAGTTGTAACATTAGACTTTATTTGATAAACATATATTTTAGCTGTAAAATAAAGACTGTAAAAACACTGTAGGCTGTTTAGTTTTTATAATTTTTAAAAAATATTTTAACATGGATGGAGCCATTTTATTTACACACAAAGCATTCTGGGTAAATGATGACGTGGACAGGTCCTCGGTGTGAGCGAGCTATATCCACCCTGAAGGTTAATCTTGGACAATATCTTATGATAGACTCTTTTAAACCAGAGAGCGTTGACAGAGAGGAGAAGGTAGAAATGATTCAGCCTGTAAATGAAAATATGGATGGAGGACAAAAGAGCTGCTTCATGGAAGAAGAACCTCAGCTTAGCCTGTTAGCTTTAGCGTTAGCGCAGACGCCTTATTGCCTTATATGTATTAGCTTGGTGTTAGCGTGACAAACTAACAAGCTAAACTGAGGTCCTCCATCTATTCAGTTCCAGGCTGAGTCATTTCTACCTTCTCTCTGTCAACGCTCTCTGGTTTCATTTAAAAAGAGTCGATCATCAGAAATTGTCCAAGATTAACCTTCAGGGTGGATATAGCTTGCTAGCAGCCTCACACTGAGGACCTATCCACGTCATCATTTACCCAGAATGCTTTGCGTGTAAATAAAATGGCCTCGTCCATGTAATATATTTTTAAACTTTTACTTTAAAAATTATAAAAACTAAACAGCCTACAGTATTTTTACAGTGTTTTTTTTTACTGTTATAATAAATGTTTATCAAATAAAGTCTAATGGTACAACTGATCATGGATCCCTTTAACTTAAAATTTTATTTAAGTCATTATGTTAATAAACCAAGTATTACAGAAATCTATTACCTTTGAAATAGTTTATTTTGCTGTATTTAATCATGAATACAACATACAGAACCCTATGTAATAAAAATAGTGATAATAAAACAACAACAAAAACAAAAGAACATATTAGCCCTCCTATTTACCACAAATAATATTTGGACATCTCTAACTTGCCAAATTTTTAAACCAATTTTATTTGCACTTTCTTAGTTTTATCTTCAAGTGCTTGTAATTTTAACTGTCTTGAGTGTTCATTGAAATGTTTTTTACCAGCTTGTAGCCAAGATTCTGAGGTTTCTGTAACAAACATGTCTATGTTTAACTAAATGAACTTAAAGTAATTAAAGTAGAAAATAGGGGCTTTGGGCTTAAGAGGTGAATGAACCAATTGGCGGTCCGAACTTGGGTTGTCAGTTGAATGGCCCTGACCTAGGGCAGTGATGTCCAATCCGGGTCCTGGAAGGCCACTCTCCTGTATGTTTTAGAAATTGAAGAGGTGATTCAATCATGAAACAGATGTGTTGGAGCAGGGAAACAGGTTAAACAAGCAGGTTAGTGGTCCTTGAGGACCAGGATTGGACACCCCTGCCCTAGGGATAACTTTATCTATCCAGTAGAGCCAATTTAGGAAAGACGTCTACAAATCAAGTCATAAGCTTTCCTCTGGTGGTGTGTGTTTGTGTCTCTGTTCTCACCGTCTTGGGTTACGGCTGTACAAAAGCAGGTAATTGTCCATCATTTAATGGAGTCTTTTATGATCAGGACTGTCCAGCTCCATCTCAACCTCTGACTGTTTTCCTTCCGTTAGCATTCACTAATTTGTAGAGAAGTAACTGTCAACTTATATATTTGTTATATATCTTTTATGCACCACTCAGACTACAACACAGAGGAGAGCTACCCGGCCAGAGACTACCTGGCTGCAACCATGCAGTTCATCCCAGGACATTTTGCTTGTGATGTGGTTTGGAGCACAATCATCCAAATTCATCCACGCCTCAAGATGGGACCTAACATGGGTGTGTCCAGGGGTGAGTTGCAAAATAAGTTTTTCTTCTTCAAAGAAAAGTTGACCTCAGAACTGAACGCTACTGTGGGCCTGGTTAGTGGGATGTACGGTTCCACTGAGCAGCACATTGTGTAATTGTGTTAGGCTTGTGCATCCTCTACACTTTTATGGTTAATTGAATATGTTACATCACTTAGTTAAGTCCTCCTGTTTCTCAAGTTTTTGAAACAGCTTTGGTTGAAATGCTTGTTTTAATGTAGATTTATATGCAAAAACTAAAAGGCCTTATAATGTTTCTTGAAGGGAATACAAATCACCTGCTGCCTTTAATGCCAGAGTTTTAAACCAAGGTCATGTTATGTTGAAAAATGATGATGAAAATAGCATTGTGTTCATTTTCTTGCAATATTTCCAGATCTCACATGCTCTGTTAGTGCTCAGAGTATATGTTGCGAATGAGTCTCAGCTACTACCACATGGTTTTTATGAAACTACCGGTAAATGATGTCTAGAAATTTCTGTTTGTGCTGAGATCGGTCAATTAGTAGTGGTGGCCATCCTGATTTGTATTGACACCAAAAGATAGTATGTTATATTGCATCACTGTTCTCATCCACTAATGATTGTCTCTTGTCCAAAACTAATTTAAAATGGACTGAGACAAATTGGAAAACTGCAGAAAACTGTTCTTTGGTCAGACAAATCCAAATATGAAATACTTTTTGAAAGCCGTGGCCACATCCTCCATACTAAAAAGGAGAGGAATCATCCAACATGTTAGCAGCACGAATAGTTTCATAATCGTACAGATCTGGTAGATGAACATCTCTCACACTAAGACTGTATTTCTAATGATGAGCATGTTTTTTACGTTCATATTTTTTTTCTAAACTGAATTTATCTGCCCTCCCACCTGCTTTTTGAGATGCAGCAATCCAGGCTCTTCGATCCGTGTTGAACTCTTTCTCCGTGGTCAACAGGAAGAACATGTTTGTTTATCAGGAACGGACCACCAAGTCAGTCTTCTACCTCAGGTGAATTCTGTTTCACACTGCTCCAACGTAGTGTCTGTCCCCTTAGTGACAACAGATTTTATTTTCCATTATCAAGTTGTGCCACATTATTCAACTCATCAACGATTTCATAACATTTCAGCCGCAACAAGTCATTCAACATTCAAGTTTATAGTTGTACTTAGAATCAAGTTATTAACATTCAAATCTGATCCTTGTGTTGATTTTTGTAGACTGTGTGAAACCTCCCTGACAGGGAAGTATTCAGATGTTGATGGAAACCTCCATACCACTCGTTCCATCGGCCTGGCCAGGAGTCAGGAGCCTTTGTATCCTGAAGATGTTGCGGTGAGCAAACACATGTAGTATGTGGTCATTTTACTGAAGCCACGCATATTTGCATCATGTATGTAGATAGAAACACTGTAGCCATGATGAAGGCTGTCATTCTAAAACAAATTTAACACTATACCAACCATTCAACCACTATACCAACCCAATTTTAACCCTATACCAACCTAACTGTGACCCCTAAACCAGTCTAACTTAAACCCCTGTATCAACAGACAGAATTTGCAAAAATACAAACTTGTTTTAAACTTAATAAATTACCATTACATTTGGATAAAACTGACTATATGATATTCAGTAAAAAAAAAGAGAACTGTCGATCAATGTTCCATTAAGAATCCATGGTGTAGAGTCAGTGAGGTGAAGTTTTTGGCCGTTTTCATTGATGAAAATCTGACATAGAAACCTCACATAAATTATGTAAGAATAAAAATAGCTAAATCTACTGCAGTACTGTATAAAGTAAGGGAGTTGTTCAATGATAAAGCTCTATATATGTTGTATAATGCAATAACTGTTCCACACTTAATTTATTGTATTGAAGTCTGGGGTAAAGCATTACAAATTCCATCTTTATTTTATAGAAAAGAGCTGTAATAATTATCACCAGAAAACGTTAGTCACCCATCAAATACATTAATTTATCAACTAGAGTTATTGATGTTCTATGATTTGGTTGATTTGGTTGATTATAATATAATAATATAATAATATATTTTATCAGTTATATAGTGCTCATAAAAACACATTACCTTTAAACATCCATTTAAAGTTTCTTTAAAGGGGCAATATTATGTGTTTTTCAGGTGTATATTTAAATACTATACATTAATAAAGTATCTATGTCACCTTTAGTTGTTATTAAAATGCTGTTTTATGTTTAAATAGAAAATAAACTTATCTTCTCATCACTTCATCTTCTAAACGCCTTGAAATTGGCCTCTGTCTCTTTAAGAACCTCCTTCTGCTTCTTTACCGTCCCGTTCGTGGGGGTGGAGGGCGGGGTCACGTGCGCGCTATGATGCAGTTTACTTGGCATCTGAAAATACATTTCCTCAAAGGTATTTTGAATCTGAAAAGAGCTTCACTGAGTGAGAAGTAGGAGCTCAGCAGACAGTTTCAGTTTCAGATTGCTCTGTTAATGCCGAGAGCCTGCAAGAGTCATGGGCAGAGTGTGGGGTGGGGGGTGGGGAGGTGTGCTCCATGATGAGGAAGTTCGGCTTAAAGACACGTCCCAGGGGCGTTTCTGGTACCAAAAGGCGTTTCTGGTCCCCACCTGTCGTTTTGCTCCTCAGCATGGCTTCCTAAAAACGCTGCAGGATTTCTCAAACATGCATGAATGAGTCAAAGCAAGGCTTTGTGCATGTTTTTTATGAGAGTATAACATAACATGATATAAAACTCAAAAAAGTTGATTTTGGATGATATTGCCCCTTTTAAAAGAGAGAGTTGTTACAATGTCAAGGGGATAAAGATGTTTGTGAAACCTAAATTTCGATCCAGTTTGAAGGAATAATAAGATGGAATAATCTGGAGCATGATGTTAAAGATCAATGTTTCTGTTTAAAAAAATGATCAAAGTTGGTTTGCTGAAAAAAATATGAAATATCATATTGTGTATCTGTATAAATTGTTGTTCAAGAAGGAGTTAACAATTTTGTTTGAATTTTTTTTTCAGAAAAAAGGGGCAGATATTAAAGGATTTTTTTCTATCTGCTGCCTTTCATTTTGTTTGTGATTGTATTTCTTATTGTATATAGATTTTTTAAAGAAATGAATAAACTTTATAAATAAATAAACTTAACTTTAACCTTATGCCAATCTAGCTGTGACCCTATACCAACTTAACTTTGACTCTTTACCATCCTATGACCCTTATACCGACCTAACTGTGACTGTGGGGATGTCATTATTAAATAGAATATGTGAGCAGTTTTATAGCACATGTGGTGACCAGAAGTAGCACTTTGCTAAGTTTTACAGTTGGTTTATTTGCTTCATGGTTTTAATTTGTTTCGTTTTTCTTTAGGGCTCTCGGCTGGTTGGACAAGTAGATAAACACATCCTGCTGCTGGTTCATGGAGTGGGAGATGCAGGTAGGGCTGAGTATAATTAAAACAAAGGTCATCTCATGTTACATATTTTGATCATTAATCTCTTACTTAGTAAATCTTTTTACATCCTTGTTTCTTTCACACTTTTTTTTAAAACATTACTTTGATAAAATGTTGAAACTGTGGTCAGACTGCAGTATGTCACTGTGATACTGTTGGCAAAAATATTTTTTGTGTTTTCGCTTTGACTTTGCTAATAGTTCCTTAACAAACGGCTTATCCATCCATCCATCCATCCATCCATCCATCCATCCATCCATCCTTTTTACTTCTGTCCAGGTCCAGAGATCACAGATGAGCTGGTGAAACTGCTACGTAAACGGATGGATGAGACCACGCTGGACATCATCACAGTGATGCTTGTCAGGAACTGTAAACTGACTCCAGCTGATGTGGAGGTAAACCGCCCTTATCTATGTCACGCAAGTTTTTATTTTCCTGCATCATGTTCTTGAGTTAACCCACTTGAAAAGACTTGAGTTCTCACTGGTTAATTGCTGTCTTGTTAGTTCATCCAGCCATCTGGGTCTTCAGCGACAGAGGTGATGATTTACAGCCTTCCTCAGTATTGTGGGTCCTGTCTGCCCGCTGTGGCCCACTACCTTCGGCAGAACCTTCTCATCTTCCTGCACATTCCCAAATACACTGACAGCAACACAGCACACCATTTTAAGGTACGATTAGGACCCATTTAAATCAGTTTACTTGACCTGTTGTGTGTTAATTGGATTAAAATCTTAAGAAGTCCTTGAAACAGAAACCACAACAAATCAACATAATAAGCCAGGGGTGTCAAACTCATTTTCACTGAGGGCCACACGAGCATTATGGTGGCCCTCGAAGGGCCAGTTGTAATAAACTTTGATGTTTCAAGTTTAACTTTGACTAAACAGAGTTTTAACTTGTCCTCATTTAAACACTGATAAGAACTAAATGTATGACTGACTAAATCTGAAATAAATACAGAAATAGTATTTAGTTTATGGTTGATGCTGACTTTAAGCAGCTTATTTTCAGACATTAATACTGTGCTATCCAACTAAATTGCTCAGTTACATCAAGCCAACAGCTCAGGGACAGGAATGTATTAAATTTATTTTTATTTGATTTATTTTTATTAAATTTATTTTGTTGCATTTAATCATAATTTTAAAGTTTACGATTGATATAAGAAACTATTTTCTTTGGGGGGGGGTACCCCCCCCGGCGGGCCACACGAGAGTCACCCGCGGGCCATATTTGGCCCGTGAGCCTTGTATTTGACACATGTGTAATAAGCAAAGCTTGTCTTCTGTTTGTGACTGGTATTTGGGTTTTTCGCCTACAAATTAGCTGATTGTTCACTGTCTTTAATAAATTCATTGGTCATTTGTATTTGGTTCTGGTTGAACAGTGGTGCGTTTGATTATTCATCTTATTCCAATCAAAAATCTAATTTTTTCAGATTTTTATTTTTATTGAACGCACCACTTTACAAATAAAATTTCGGCAAATAAAACTAAAGCAATACAATTAAAAACAATCATTCAAAGGAGTGGGTACAAGTATAAACTTATTAAAACCCACCCCTTCTTCAGCAACGTAAAAAAATGATCTCATCCTTAGGTATCATATCAGTATACCTTCATTCCACTTTCAGATTCCTGCTTAATGCAACACATTCAATAATATGCTAATAATAATAATAATAATAATAATAATAACAATACCTCTAATAGTATTAACAAACTAATGATATGATAACACAGACACTAGCAATGCTGTATAACAACAACACAATACATCAAGACAAACTAATTACCGTATTTATTCATGTATAATACGATCTCACGTATAATACGATTATCATTTTTTGAGCTTACAAAGCATAAAAATCTAATTATCAATAACTCGTATATAATACTATCCCCCCACTTTATGGATGATTTTTAGGGTTAAATTTCTAGTATTATACATGAATAAATACAGTAAATTACAAGTAAGGAAACAAAATACAAAGAGTACCAAGAGAGATTAATACTTTCACAACTGTTCAAAATGACCAATCTCCAATTGGGTTTGATTTGTTATTTTAAATTAAATCAAAAATTTTCAGGTCTTTAACACTACACAATGAAACAAATACTTGTTTGTGCATCCACGAGGAAGTGGTACACTCATAAATGTACGTTTAGTTGTTTTTGAGTAACTTAAATAATTTAAAAATTTTCTAAGAAAATGAAATTAGATTGTGATAGCACTAACTTTCACAGTATCAGAGTAATTAAAAAGGACAAAAACTTGTAATTTGTGTAGATAATTTTATTGTTTACAGTTAATAGCTGAGTTTTAAACATGCATCAAATCCTCTGCTAAATCAAATATATCTTATGCATTACCAGATGACAGTCCAACGTGATCAGGTGCGCTACAGGTGCTCTGTTGGGATGAAATGTTGAGTTTTTCAGGGTTTTTTTTAATCTTTTTGTGTTTGCAGCACTACTTCCATTCGGGCAGCGAGTTGGCTGATGGTGATATCTACCTCTACAATAAACCTGGGGGCCAGGGAACAGGAGGCAAAGGTAAGAGCAGCTCGCTGACTAACTGTAGCTTGTGTGTGGTGTGTGTGTGTGTGTGTGTGTGTGCTTAGAACACAGCTCAAAACCAGAGGTGACCAGATGGGTGCCACTAATAATCTTGGGCTGAAACAACAAAACTAAAATTTATGAATTCGAGGACTTCTGTTATGTTGTTATTGTCATGGAGTCCCACAGCCATCCTGTATAGCGGTCCTCAAGTGAGCATCCTCTGCTCACTTCTTTTTGATTCCTCCTTTATAATCTCAGGGTGCTGAACTTCTGGTGAAACCCTCCTGCATTGTGAGAAGTAGTGGCTTCTATGTCCTACTTTGGCCAGACGTTGTATGAGATGACTGGTACTTCATACACATTCAGTACCAGCTGTTGTGATATCGTCTTTCCATTTACTGATAATGGATTTACTGGAGCTCTTTGGGCTGTTCAGAGATCTGGGATATTTATTTTAAAATGCAACCATGGTCTGTACTTGTCCACATTATTGTACTGGCTTACAATAACAAACAGTTGTAGCTTGGCAGAGGGCTGTCTTGTTTGTTGTTATCATATGTTTTCAGACAGAACTGAAGCTGTGATTTAACACAGAGCATTTCCTGTCATTGCCTCTTGTTAAAGTGAACTGATGCTATAACAGATCAGGACAAATGTTAGGTCTCCTAACATTGCTCTCTGGGTTTCTTTAATGTTGGCTCAGGTACCATGACGGAGCTGGTTCAGCAACTCTTTCCACCTTCTCATTTTAAAGGTACCACCTCTGCCCACTTTAGAGGCTGTTCTGGCCGTGTTGTTGTTTGACACACCACACTGCTGCTGCTGCTGCTGCTGCTGCTGGGTTTTACTCATCACATCTGCAATGCAGACCTATCCCAGTTTATACATTATAGTTTGCTGAAACATTGGTTTAGTTTGCATGTATTCTCAGCACGCATGAAGTGTGTTTTTGTCTTTGTTTGAGTCTCTCTGCTGTAGAGCTTCAACAGACATGGCACTGCTACTCTAATTATTTAAGATGCCCCCAGAACAATTGTATCAGTATCATATTCCACTTTTCATCATTTAAGCCTATAAATATAATGACTTTTTGACTAAACCAAACTCGAATATAATTCTGTTGTATTTGATAGTGATTCATTGATCATCGATTGCTTTGATTGCTTTGATCACTTTGCTCTATGACACATGTTTGGTTTCAGTTCTGATTCAGCTTTTATAAAAAGTAAGTATGATCAGTTTTTATGTTCTAAAATTTGGGTTTTAGTAATCAGCTACCTGATTTAGCACAATAATTTAGATTAAAGGAGTATTTTGGCCATTCAGAACTGGGTTGAATGTGTAAAGGTTAGCTGTTGTGTAAAGATATTTGAATGATCCCAATTGGAGAATTAGTTTATTTTGATCTGACTGACATGGTATTCACTAGTCCAAGTGCGGCCAAGACCACAGTGGATTCATGGTTCAGATGTTGGTGTGAATGGAGCTTATTTTTACACCAGTGGTAAACCTGAACCTGAGCTTCTGTGGGAGAAGAGCTAGACCTGCTAAACATGTTGGATCACCATGGTTTAACTTTGGGACAAAACAACAAGTAAAATAGTGTATTCATACTTTCCTTAAAAAAGAATATATA